CTTGGTGAAATCTGCCAAGGATCAATGTTGAGACTTTGGCCGAATAAATATTCCTTCGCTGGTGAAGATGGGTAGAATCCAGTACTAGGAAAACAAAATAAAGTGAGGACTGCCGTTTACCGGCCATACACTGAAGTTACACGCCGTGTTATTATCTTAATGTGTTGTGTTGTCACTGTACATCCGCCATGTTGATTCCCACAAGATTAAGTGCTTGACTTTACAAACTTAACCAAAAAATGTGTTCTATGAATTTATGAACTGACATGGGCACAAAACTGACTGTACTTGTTGAGGACAAAATGTACCAGTTCACTCCATGGCTAAACATATTTTACTGACTATGCCAAATATATATATATAACGTAAGTAATTTATCCTAAGAAGCTGCTCATTAAAATTCTAGTGCATTTTTTCCCTGTTCTGTTTCAAACATTAATTCACCATATATATCACAATAGAGAGGGTCTATGGTATCACTTGATTCACATTTAATGACAAAATATAACAAACTATCAAAATATAAGTTGTGGGAAACTAATCATTATTACCAATCACAGAAATAAATAAATATAATTTTCATCACACTTATAAATAACACAATGTAAATGCATTTGTTTTACAAATCTAAGTTGTTGTTTTTTTATTATCATTTACATTACTTGGAAAGAAAAAAATTGCTGCTGGAATTCTTAATAACGCTTCAAAATATAACACTCCTTATGAACATGGAGCTCCATAGTATGCATCTTATTTTTTTTTTTCGACTGAAACCAGACTGAAACAGCATTGTAAGAAAAACCTAGGTTTGTCTTCTTTGTTCTCTGTTTGTTTTCAGTGGGCGTTAATGGGCAGTTAATCCGGAGGTTAGACTCCAAACTGGGTCCGAAAAAAAAAACCTTAGGAAAAAAAAAACCAGAGGAAAAAAAACCCTAGGAAAAACCCCCATAGTAAAAAACAATTGTTTTTTATCACCGATGCTTGCACATTGTCAGTATTTTGCTTGCACGTCAGTATTTACATGTAAAATAAATGGCAACACATTTTCTGCTATTATTTTTAGAGTATGTTAATGGTCTCATGGGGGATATGGTAACCTTTGATCTTAGGTGTGATCAACAGGTGTTAATTTGTGTCAATCATATAGTTAATAGAGTGGCATCCTTTGATCTTGTTTATTGTAGGCATGCCCATTGTTTCGAGGTGTTTTTGCTAACTTGCTTATTGTTTAAAGGTGTTTAATTGTATATTGGTAGTGGGTGCCTTTGATCTTTCCCTATATAAGCAGATCACTTGCACTTTGGCAGGTCAAACCTCAGACTAGTATTACTCAGACTAGTATTACTAGTCTGAGGTCAAACTAAATGAACAAGACTGATGAATCAGTGCCTGTTATCAGGCAGACAATTTCGGTCGACACAAAATCATCCAGGACATGTACACTTGTTCCCTGCATTTTGTGGGAGGAAAGGGTCCTATGTTGTTGCATCCAGACCCGATACCAGCGACTGTGAGAGGTGTTGAATGCCATATATTCGAGTCATTAGTATCATTAGTATCCAGATGAAAACCAGGATTTAAATGCGAATAGCTATGCATTTAATGATAACAATATTGCCACAAAGTTAGGGAATACCCCTCCTGACAAAGAGCTAAGCCTGAATGTTGGCAAGTGAATTAATTCTATTACTAAGTGCAGAATTAAATTGTAATATTTAATACTTGTACAATTTAATACTCATACGACCATGTTTTAATATTTTTATTTAACTTTCCTTCTATGTCGAAAAGTTATGAATTTTTAAGCTATGTATTTTTAAAGCATGCTTGTTGTTTACATTATTGACAGTTTCCTGTTATTTGTATAGATGCTTGTGCCTATCATGCAGTGTCTACAGATTGTTGTTATCCATGTGAACTAATGTGTGAATCATGCAATATTGGCAGTTTCCCCTTATTTGTTAGGAACCTCAAAGGCTGTTCACGCTAGTAATGGTGAAAGTAGCAGTAATGTGAAATATGTGCCTTTGACATGCAATGCCAGTACACAGACAGATGTTACATTTGAACAAGTCCGTCGCCAAACAACTTGAAATCCTAGCACGATTTGTAGGCCCGAGCTTCTTCCAGTAATAGTCGGATCGATAACACATTAAAACACCGAATTTTGGAACATTCCTGAAATTACTAGAGTAGCCCGGTAATTTCAAAGGATCAGTGAAATTGCAACCAAGTTTGCTGAGTCTTGAAGCGACGTCATTTTATGGGATCATAGCCTAAAAAATCAAGGTCTTCCTCGAGCACCAAATCGTACACAGGTAGCTATTTTGATTCAAAGGTTGACCTGTATCACATGACTAGCAACTGGTTGCTAGGCAAATTAAACGGTCTCGCAAGACCTCGACCGAAGCGGAAAATAGCCTATTCAAACATGTGTTGAGTGACGACCCCTCTGGTTTAAGACATAGATCACAAGTGATAGCATGTCCAAGTTATCACATTCTAAACAACCAAGATGGCCGCCAGTCGGCCATATTTGATAAAATTGCAAATTGAAATGTACATGTATCCGTTTATGACATGCTCAATATCAATGAAAATAATACATGGCTGACAGAGATTTAGTAATATGGCCAAAAATAAAAACAGCTGTTATTCAGCCATCTTTGATCTGATTATGAAACAAAGTGACATGTATGATGTATGTGCCAAATACAAATGAAAATGGTACATAAATCGTGGAAATATAGTAGTAAGACCAAAAAGTCAGATTGTGGTTGGATATCACAATAGAAGACAGGATACAAAACTTAACGAGCCTGGTAGTGTATACACACTACACAGTTATGGGATAAAGTGACAGCTAGACGATATACCGGTACTTAAGCTACGGATAGTATTTATTCTGGAGAACATAACATGTATCATCGAGAGTTTGGTAACAACTAGTAATTACAAAGAAATCACAGTATTTATAAACCGCCAAGGATTCACACCGTGTAAACAAATTTTGGAGCTGATTATATAATTATGAGTGTTTCCTATTACGTTAGTATAAGTGGCCTTGATCATTAAAATGGCTTAAAGCAGTCAAGGTTGTGCTAGTTTCCCATAGCTTTACATGCAATATCAAACAGAAACACATTGAACTAACACTAAAAGGATGTGTATATATGCGAAAAGAATACAAGTAAATACAGATCAATAACTGTGACTAAATGTTCCCGATACAGATGGCTGTCAATAAGACATCCTTGATCCAATTTTGAAACAAATTGTCATGAACATGTATCATAACATGTATAAAGTATATGCCAAATTTGAATGAAAACTGACAAAGCATGTCAAAGACACCACATTTAAAAAAACAAAACAAGATACCTGATAGTCGCCCATCTTTGATCCAATTGCAAAAGAAATTGTCATGGACATGTATCCTAACATGTATAATCTATTCTATGTACCAAGTTTGAATGAAAACTGACAAAGCATGTCCAAAATACAACATTTTCAAAAAACAAGATGGCTACCAGTCGGCCATTTTGAATCGAATCGCTAAACCACTGCATGTGCATATGTGCCACATAAAGTACTAGGCACATGCAAAGAATGAACAGAATCGGGCGAAAGGACTTCGTCTGAACGGGAACTAATAATTTGACAGGGTATTCAAGGCTATTTACAAACTATAGTTTCGTAGATTGAAGACGATTGTTTGTTTCACAAGAATATAAAGCTGGCAATCAACCTAATATGCACATTGGTACGTAACAGGAGGTACACCAATCCCACCCCAATACATTCAATTTCACTGAAAATGGAGAACCTACCTTTGCAAACACGTCTCTTGTGCCACCTTCTTGAAGTTCCTGCAATCAAATAAGGTTACTAGTTCTTCTAGTAACTATTGAATAAAACCACACTGAGCCAAACAAAATATATCAGTACTATAATTGCACTGCCGAATGGAGAAATCACATGCTGTAAAACAGCATTACAGATCTAATCTACTGTAAAATACTTTATTTCGTCTGGAATTAATATTCACTGAAAAGACTTTTGTGCATTTTGTATAGAATATATTTTCATAGATTTGGACGAGTTGAAAGTAAAATATAGGAAAAAAGGATTTTATTTTAACTGAATCATTCCTTCAGCGAAAATAGCAAAAAAAAGTTGCAAGTGAAAATAAAGTATTTTACAGTAATTTATTCTGAGCAAGCGTAATTGTTCTGTCAATGATGTTGGGAGAGGTATTTTTGATAAAAATCTTGAAAATGACCCACTTAGGATATTCAGATCTGGAAAAAAATGTGTGTGCTTAGTCAGCAGATTATTGATATCTACTGCAGAATTTCTGAGAAAATGTTGGAGACGGAAAATTTAAGTTAAAAACGAAACCTGAAATTTTTCAGGCTGCAAGGACTAAAAAAGATGTGCATTCGATACGATGCATGATATAATAATAATAATAATAATAATAATAATAATAATAATAAATCTTATATAGCATATAACAAAGGTTAAATGGGAACCGTTCAATCTCATGGATTGCACCAAGTGCTCATGGGTAATTAACTCCGGCCTCTTCTGTCCACAAAGTAAATGAATGCACATCTTTCCCCCTGTCCTGCTAATCCCACAAAACAGCTGATATAAAAGTCCTTTGAATGGATTACAATATGCTTGTTTTAATATAACAATAGAATTTCAAACCAAGTACAAGTTGGTCTTTTTGGGCATTTGAGTCAAACACAGAGCTCGCTCCATATGCCATGATTTGAAACATTGCGCGCTCTGTAAATATGACGTGGAACTACACTAATTCAAGCGCTTTAAGATACTGAAAAATACTATTTGATGTAGATATAGACTGACAGATGCACACTCTCACAGAGGGCAATCCATAAGTCCTCCTTTTCAGTCTATGTTCGAACCAGAACTAAGAATCTTTACAGCCCATTATCAGGAATTGTGATACAATAATAATAACGACAAACCTGTTTGAAATGGTAACTTCTTTATTTTAATAGTCTTAGTTTGTTTCCAGATTGGTGTTTTCGTGGTGATGTCTTTACCGACTGTAGACAGTCTTTCCTTGTTATGTTTTATTTCACTTGAGTTTCCATTTGATAGCGGTCGATAGTCTTTATGCCAAATACTCAACAGATAACGAGGTGTATTCTTCTTAATGGGCTGAAATGACATAAAACTGGTTTTCGTACGAAACAATACTGACTTTAAAATAATCATTTGTTGTACAGCGTAAACTAATCATTTGTTGTCAAACAGACATGATTTATGCACAAGGTTTGACGCTTCAAGTCTATAAGGTCATTGTGCTTTGTGAACTACAAAGCATACTTGCATATCACTACAGATGTTTCAACAAAACATGAACTTAAATCAATTTGTATTAGGATACTGATGTACACGCATATACATAGTATAATTCAGTCAGTGAACCAAACGTTTGTTTAACTGTTAAATTTTCAACTTTACTCAAGAATAAAATTGAATAAATTTATTTTACAACTAATTTTTCTTTTGATCCACAAACAGTAAAAGCCTGATTCTCATTAGTAATTCACTCACAAGTCAAAAGGCCGAAAACATAAACAAAAAGCAGCCTGTCCGCCGAGATATCATTAGAAAATGAACAATATGTATAGTATCAAAGCAATCAGACTTGCTGTTTTCAACAAGAATTCGAAAATATCACTTTTCACCAAAAATGACAAAAATATTTATTAAAATTAGAGAATTAAAGATATCCTCACAAAATGAACAAATCTGAGAGATGTACACATGTACCGGTAGTACCTATATATGTAATATCAAAGCAATCAGACTTGTGGTTTTTAACAAGAAGTCGAAAATATAAATTTTTACCAAAAATGACAAAAATATTCATCAAAATTAGAGAATTAAAGATATCATTACAAAATGAACAAATCTGAGAGAGGTCCACATTTAGTATCTATATATGTAGTATCAAAGCAATCGAACCTGCGGTTTTTAACAAGAAGTCGAAAATATCAATTTTACCAAAAATTACAAAAATATTCACCAAAATTAGAGAATTAAATATATCATCATAAAATGAACAAATCTAAGAGAGGTCTACCCAAGGTACATATACACCAAGTATCAAAGCATTCAGGCTTATAGTTTTCAAGAAGTCGAAAAAGTAAAACGAACGACGACAAACAATCACTCATATGATAAGCTCCGCTTGACAGCAGAGCTAAAAACATATATACATGTATACTGGTAGGCCTTTCACTGGCACTTTAACATCAGTGTATTACATGAGTAAATAATTGTCCAAATGCAAGTGTAAATCAAAGTTTAAATATGCATTGCAATTTTCCCCATCTGAATTAGAGTTGAAAGGGCAGACAGTCTGTTAATTTACATGTACAAATATAACTTGGTGCCTGGACACATATGGAATGCTTTTGAATAATGCAAGTGTAAAATTGTTAACTTGACAATAGGAGTTAACAATCAGAGCTATAACCAGAACTAGCATTTGAAATTACATATGTCCATGTAGACCTGTACAAATTGGAAGCAATAGACATGATATTTAATTTACCAACTAATCTTGACTTAATAGCTGTGCCAATATATAACAAATGGATATACCATTGCCACTTCAAGCTACCCTACATTTCACACCCAGTTACCTTATGAAAGTCAGGTTTATAATCATCTTGTATTTGCATAGATTGGATATTTATATTTCCCAATGCTAACTGCAATGCCTTGTTGTCATCTACAAATCTGATTAAAAGCTTTAGTTAAGAAATAAGTACATTCAAGTGGGTTGATTGGTTGTTTGGCCAAATAAAATAAGTGTTTTGTACAGCAGGTGGTGTATAGGATTAAGTTTATTTTTTCATAGTAATTACATTGTTGTGAAGATGAACAAAATATATACGTAATTAGACATTAAGGTTTGCAGAATTTGTCTAGCATGCAAATAGAAATACGAATAAGCCCCTGTTCAGTCATCACTTTCCAGTTTGGCTAAAAAAATCTAGGTCAAGTTCATCGTAAAAAAACACTTACTTTATTTTGCCTGGAGATTGGCACAAGAATGAAAGAAAACCAACGTTATGAAAGGAAATAATGAATGCAGGGCACAGGGACATGCTAAACTCTGAGATGAATGTATTGAGAATATGTATGTATAACACACTGTTACTTTCCATATATGCTCAAAAGGATACTTTCCAGCGTACTGCATCTCCTTTGGGTCAATATCATCAGGATATGGGGTTAGAGGAAGTGATTTTCTCTTGATAGGATCAAACACTATTTGATGTAGAAATGTATTGTTAGCTTGGATGAATCCTTGGATATATTCTGGGGGAACCACTATATTACTCTTTAAATAGTGACCAAATCTTTTCAAAACCTAAAAGATATAGAAAATATATAATTTGTTAATCTTAACTATACCAAATGTTGTTGGTATAGACTTTAGAAAGATCATAGAAAGCCAAGGTCCATGGTACCAAAGTGCAATGTTAAATCTTATTTTATTATCACTACCTTATACTAAAATATGTTAATTAGAGTACCAGTAACAAATTCCCACTTCCGGTCCGGTTAGACTTAAAATACACCACGAATATTCACTTTTGAGATATAACTTTTGGTACATGTATGTGTTGGTTCTTGGATATTTCAGCTTTGTCGCCCTGTACTTCATTTAGTAATTCAAACTTCCCAAATTGCATAAAATGAATACTTTCGCGATTTCGACACTGAAAATGCCTTGGCTTAATTATTTGCTGAGACACGGCGGCTTAGGTAGGTGCTCTGTAACTTGCAGCACATGAACCGAAAAGCATTAGGTAATCAAACAAAAACGACGTTGTACTAAAGTACATAAACCACATTCAAGGTAAAAACGATTTGCTCCCTCGCTTATTGTGACACCCTCAAATCAACTGATTTCCATTCCCCTCAAAAGTCAACAATGATATAGTCCCCTATTTTATGTTACGACTCGATACGGTCATTTATGATTCACGTGTTATATGCCTTCAATTACGTTTTTGTGGCTGTCACTGTCTTCTTCCGAGTCTTGCCGAAAACGTTTTGGTTCCAATTCACGTAGCTATTGCTGAGAAAATTAAAAAAATCTTTAATTTCTTTGTGAACTAACATGCCGGAAATGAAATTAGCATAACAATGTGTTTGACCTTTTCCTCGACAACTTTCAACACCAGTGCAACACCACAGACAACTAGAACTCCACGTGCATTAAATTGCGTTTTTCAAGTCATGTACCATAAATTGCGTTTGAGAGTACCCGAAGTTTGTTTCAAAGACTGCGGGACACCAGAGATAACCAGAACATTAAAATGTTCACGAAATTCAAATGTTTTTGAAGTCCGTCAAATTTGTTTTTAAACTTTGTTGCCTATTCCCCCACCAGGGTGAATTACAGCACTAATATTTGTTTCCCAGGAATCTATAATCAAACAAGTCATGAAACAGTCCCCATCCAAAATTTTGTGATCTGACATATCAATTTGATGATGATGAAGTCATTGAGATTATATTGAAAGCATTAATAGGAGATGGATTTGTAAAAAATTATGATTTAGTGCTTTTACACGAGAATTGGACATTGGGCAGTCATATTGAATTAAATTACAAAAATAATGTTCATGTTGATGTATCTAATGGTATACTGTCTTTGTACAAAATTTAAACAGAAATGTTCATTGCATTCAAGAGAAAGTAGCATGGGTACCATGAAAAACAAAATGGCCGCCAGTCGGCCATATTTGTTTGAATCACGGAAAAAGTATGACGTGCATCTATCACCAAATATGTATGATCATCATACCAAGTTTGATCCAAATCATCCCAGTCGTCTCTGAGAAACAGCTCCGGACATGTAAAATTGACGATTTAGCACTTTTACATGAAAATTGGGCGTCGGCCAGCCATATTGAATTGAATCACAAAAATCATGTTGGTGCAGATGTATCTCTTGGTATAGTATCTTTGTACAAAGTTTAAACAGGAACATTCATTGCATTCAAGATAAAGTAGCATGGGTACCATGAAAAAAAAGATGGCCATATTTGTTCGAATCACGAAAAAAAAAATGATGTGCACCTACAACCCATTATGTATGATCATCATACCAACTTTGATCCAAATCGGCCCAGTCATCTCCGAGGAACTGCTGCGAACACGTTTAGGTACCAGAAATAGCAAATCCATTTGAAACCTCCCATGTTAGCACACTGTCATATGAGCCGGCCGTAAAATGAACAAACACATAACTAAAAATGTTAAAAGCGATTGAAAAGTTGGTGGATTTGCGTGTATACTCCCCCTAAGTATATATATAGAACCCTAAAAGAAGTCTAAAACAGCTACATGTATTTATGTTGGCACATTGTACCAATACCCATCGGCCATTTTTTTCTCCGATCATAAAGCAACTTGACGAGCATACATGTATGTATTGTCTTCATGTAAAGTTTGAATGAAATCCGTTAATGGGTGTCCGAGATATAGCCTCGGACGTACGTACAGATGGACGTACGGACGGACGGAACGAACCCAAATTAATAGTTCGTAATAAAATGTAGCATTATTGTCGTCATGTTTATTTATCCCATCACCAGAGTTAATTAAGTCATGAATGTTTGTTCCCCGGGAGTCTGTAATAAAAATGTGTAATTCACATCGTAAATTCATAAAAGTGTGTGTCATTTTGGGTCTCACTGGTCACTGCGTTTCCCGAAATCGATGAGGTAAAAAGCCTCTCACCCCTTGGTTATTATTACAGTTTTTTCATCACCGGAGGGATTCACATCTCAAATTTTGATTCCAGGGCATCTCTAATAAACAAGCTATCTAACCAGCTTGGTTGAATTGATGATATAGCCAATGGTAGATTGGCCTCGACCTTCTCTCGCTTGGAAATGCAAGGGCGCTAAGACTCAATTTTCATAGACAGGTCATTTAGAACGAATGGTTTCTTTTGTTTCAAGTATGTTGTTTTGGGTCAATATAGAACATGTTCAAGCCCCAAAATGGTAGCAATAATGTACACGTCGCTGTACGTCAAAACACACTCTCTAACTTGACAACATTCACTCTCGGACCATTTTAAGGTAGCGAGAAGGGTTTTGTGACGTTTTCGAATAAAACATTCTCTGTCTGTTGTCTTGTTCAGAAGAGTAATTTAGCTTATATATTTCAAAAAGACTAAGTATAGAGGTACAAGTTCGCACAAACTGGACAGTCATTGTTTACATAATTATCACGTGACATCAAAAATGGCCTCGATTGCGAGAGCACACTGCGGAATTTCCTGGTGAAATTTACGTCATGCATTGTCCGTAATCAAGTCCATTGAAATGTGTCTCCGATAATCAAAAGACCTATTATTCCGATTTCTATGCAGGTTTGTTTTTTTGTCCCCAAATTATTTCATACTTGACACCTTTAACAGACTATTATTCTGTGACAAAGCATTTTCTTTAAAAACCCAGACATATTTCGCACCATCATTATCTTTTGAACGAAAACTGCGAGTTTGAATGTCCTAGTCCGAACGCACTTGATTTGGCGGCGGTACCAATGAGTCGTACTCAATCGAAACTTCATTTCGAGAAAAACGCAAAAAACAGTTTTGGTTAATAAAACACTGTAGATTTGCTGCATTATTATAAATATACACTAAAAATGGCCAAACATATTAACCACTGATATCATAGAGCTCATAAAGAGTGTCAGATAATGAATAATTTCAAGCTCGAGTGTGCTGTGTCAGAGTGCGACACTGAGTGGCAGATTTTTCTTTGCCTCATCTGTCAACGCTTTCTTTCTTTAGAAAACATGGTATTAGTAAAATAGAATATTGACTTGAAAAATAAAACGATTTAAAAGAAAGTTGCGCAAATTTACAGTACTCATTTCGCACTACCTCCCGCCCGCTCCCGCTTTCCAATCACCTTTTTTCTCGCTTTTTTGACCGCTTGTTGAATTTGACCGGACAATTTCCACTTTATTTTCGACCGCGCAAACCCCGAAATATCACCACTCGCTCGCACACATTTAAAATTCGGACTAACAGAAAAATTTCCGAGGTTCACATTCTTATAATTGTCTTTATGGTTTTTATAGATGTTGAACGGCTGACAAAATTCAAATACTTTTTGTTTTAACTATCTGTAATTATATGCACACAACCTGACCCTTTGGCCTCGATTTGGCTTGGACTGAATATTTTATTTTAATCAA